ATTCTGTTTCTAGATGTGGGAATATGCTTGAAGCAAAAATAAAAACTAAAAAAAGAGATGTTGTTCAGTGTGTTGGTGCTGATAGCACTTTCTGTTGCATTGCTCTTTGGCTCACTGTTATAATGTTTCTTATTTTCGGTGGCCATCTGCAGAGCCTTCCCCCTTGCATACTACCACAATTGTGGAGAAGTGCACTCTCAAACTTGTCGATGAATACAACCATATGCTTTGCCAAGCCACAGAGCCCTTGTCGACCTTCTTAGAGTACATCAGGTAAGTTATTATTGGTGTGATGGGAGTGATGGTTTATTTTACTCTAAATTCCACTTTTCATTTGTCCCATAGACAGGATAAACATTTTAGAAAACTATGAAATCAGAATATGGGTCTATGTTATCTGTGCATGATGGTTAAAAATCACGTATGTCTAGATAATATGGCATTAGGTGTCGTTGTGTGGCCGCATGTCCTATCTTTGTTTCTTGCACCCTCCATTTGCTAGGGAAACCTATCTATGTTTCTTGCACCCTCCATTTTCTACGGAAACCTATCATTGTTTCTTGCTCCCTCCATTGGTATATTATTTGTGGGAGATGTTACAAAAGAAAAGAAGAAAAGATGAGCGAAAGGTGCTGCTCGGTAGGAAATTAATTGTACTACCACATCTATCCTATATTTTGTGATGGCACTGTTGCTTTTGGAAATCAAGGTTATCATTTTTTGAGTTGAAATTAACAAAAACTTTTGAAACGAATGATGTTAAGTGTTTGAGCATTTCTTTTGTAGAAGTTGAAAGAATTATAATTGAAATAAATAAGTTAGAACCAAAAAGTTAAAACTATAGCAGATGAATTGGGATGGAGGAAGAATATATAAGGTCTCTAACTAAGTAAAAGATCCAGATGGTTGCTAGGTGATCATCTTTGGCCTCTCAAAAAATGGAACTGCGAAATATCCTAGCATTAAAGCGACCAAGCTGCATCTACTTTACCCGGATGACCTTTCAATATCTCGTCCATTCAGATGCAATAAAACATATATACAGGGATAGCCATCATAGGTTAGGGGATAGCTTCGTATACCTGTTTGGCTCTTCTCCCTTGCGCCTTCTCTCATACATAGAACTTCTGACTTTTGTGCATCATCAAATAACTAGCTTCGCCTTCACAATGTGTGATGGAGATAATTTAACTTTTCCTTCCATTTAACAAAAGGGCAGCAGTTCAACAACCTTTTCCTTTTCTTGCACTATATGCAATAAGGGATGCTTCCCAAATTGCCATATGCTTTCCAGTAACGATTGGGATAAAGTGAATATTATATCCCAAATTAGTACGTAAATGTGTATGAAACTTTCCTCTTGTGCCTATTGTGAGTTGGACTGCAAGTAATGGTCACTATGGAAAAAGGGATATTTAAATAAAACCTTGTGAGTTGCACTTAAGTGCTCCTAGTTTTAGATAAAGCATGAGCAATAATTTAGCCTTGGTATGCTAGTTTTAATTGGAACAAGCTTAAACGGTTCTCCTAGTCTATCATCTTTGATTTTCGCAACTTATCTCCAAAGAAAGAGATGGGCACTACTTAAATGATCAAGCTCATGGCTTAATGTGGGATTTTCTATTATGCTTATTGTTTCTGTTGCTAACTAATTGTTGTTCTACATGCGGTTAAGGTGTGCTGCTGGTTAATTGAGTGAGCCTGACGTGTCTTATGGAATCATATTCATCTAGCTTATTGTTTACCTCTTTCTGGTCTATATGGTTGTATCTAAGTTGTGTTATACCTTCATATGTTGCAGATACGGTCACATGATTGACAATGTTGTCTTAATTGTGACTGGAACTTTACATGAGAGAGATGTTCAAGAATTGCTGGAGAAATGCCATCCTTTGGGCATGTTTGACAGGTAGTGTTCATAATACCTCTCTCTGGCTGTTAAATAGCTGAAACTAATCAGTAGCATCTATTAACTTTCCTAACTTATTTCCACAGTATTGCTTCCCTGGCAGTTGCACAGAATATGAGGGAGCTTTATAGGCTGGTGCTTGTTGACACACCCTTGGCTCCATACTTCTCTGAGTGCATTACTTCAGAGGTATGAAATGCTTCCCGCTTATCTTTGTTTATACTTCTAGTTTCCTTCAGTATGAACCTTTTCTATGCATGCAGTTCTAGTGTAGAAGGATGTTGCACTTTTAAGTAGTTAATCAGTATCTTATGTCCACTTAATGGGTCCTTGTAATTCATTCATTATTTACATGCAGCTTTTAAGGATATACTTAATATGTCAGTTTTTGTTCATTCCAAGTAGAAGGTCTATGAATATATTGAGTATTTTATTTCTTAATCAACTGTCTTGAATCAGTTACTCTTATCAGTCTTGTTAATCAATTGTCTTACATGAGTTGCTCCTGTCAGTTTGCCTTCCGCCTTGCCCATGTTTAAATATTTCCTTTGTCAATGGAACTTATTTCATGCAGGACTTGGATGACATGAATATTGAGATTATGAGGAATACTCTATATAAGGCGTACCTTGAAGATTTCTACAGATTTTGCCAGGTAAGCATTTGTTGTACAGTTTTGTACCATATGTTTATACTTTTAAATACTGATCCCTTTCCTCAAAACTAAAATTACACGTCCTGTTACTCTTGTCTGATATGAATATATTGCCAATAGAAACTAGGTGGTGCTACTGCAGAGATCATGTCTGACTTGCTTGCTTTTGAGGCAGACAGGAGAGCAGTTAACATCACCATAAACAGGTATGTCATGGGTTCGTGATTTCTCTGAATCTGGGTACTACTGATTGTATATCAGGTTATAATTTTGCAACTACCAACTGGAATTTGTTGATGCAGCATTGGCACTGAACTAACACGTGATGACCGTAGGAAGTTGTACTCTAATTTTGGCTTGCTGTAAGTTTATGCACTTTAATCTTTTATGTTGCTGAGTCATATCCGACATTGGAGGCCTCTTTTTTTCTGACACTATTTGTGTTGAATAGTTACCCTTATGGTCATGAGGAACTTGCCATCTGCGAAGATATAGATCAGGTATTTTACGTGTAACTTTTGTTTTCCTTCATTTTTGTAGAACCTTCTTGTATATGGAGCTTCTATATTGTTAGATGGGTGCTAGTATTCTGTCTCTATTGCATGAAGTTTTACTTCCTTACCATACTCGCTGAAAAAGAAAAAGGGTGAAGTAGCATTCAGCACTGAGATGACAGATCAGTGAAGCAAAGAGAGAATTATTGATTTTCTTTGCAGAACTATGGCGGAAGCAATTGATAATTTTTCTGATACAAGTTTAGTGGCTAAACCCGAAGTTGAGGCTTATCCTGTATGTTTCCTCATACTTGTAGGTCCGTGGTGTCATGGAGAAGTACCCTCCTTATCAATCCATATTCTCTAAGTTGGCTTATGGGGAGAGCCAGATGCTTGACAAGGGTTTTTATGAAGAGGAAGTCAAACGCCTTTGCCTGGCATTTGAACAACAGGTTTTCACACTGTGGAAATTGCTTAACTGTATTTGTGTAGAATCTCTGTGAACATTTTCTTGCTTGTCTGTGAAACAGTTTCTGAAATCATGCAAAAGGATCTTCAATGTGTTCTTTTAAAAGAAAACAAAATCAATTTTTTTAAGTTTATTCTTTATATTATCTCTGATGGTGTGTTCTTTAAGTTTTCCACGAATTTTTCTTTTCTTTTTCAAAAACCTGTCTTAAAGAAGTGGTTCTAGTGTGTCTTTCAAAGAAAAGTTCTTCCGACAAAACTCACATTTCTCCGGGGAAAAAAAACTTGCAACTATCCAAGCACGTATATTTTACACAAATCTTTTTCAAAAAGTTGTTCAAACAACTTAGAATTCCTAATCACACAGCAGCTTTGACCCCCCTAGTCCTCCCAGTTCCCAAATTATACAAGAAAAAAAGGTAAAGAATATAAAGTGATATATTACAATCTGTGTACTTCCCTCACTGATTCTCTCTACTCCTTTATTGCAGTTCCACTATGGTGTATTTTTTGCATATGTAAGGCTGAGAGAGCAGGAGATCAGGAACTTAATGTGGATATCTGAATGTGTGGCTCAGAACCAGAAATCCAGAGTCCATGACAGTGTTGTTTTCATATTTTAATGATCTGGTAATTCAGATTATGTGCTCTCCATACTCTTTGTATATCTGAGTTGCACTGCAGTTTGTCGATTAATATGAGTTATTCTCGGGGTAAAGGCTAACCTCAGCCGTGTGATGGGGGTCATGCTTCGAAAAGTTATCCTCCAGGAAACTTGCCAGTCCTCCTGCATGCTTCCTGAGTTGATTATTGTGAGTTGCGAAGAGATATTAGCCTGTTCGTTGTGTATCTTCTCTAATAAATTCAGTGTATGCATGGTTGAATATCATCTGGAATGATCCTCAGATTGATATGTATCTGAAATTCTCTATTTTTTAAACTTTATCACAATAAAATTCTGCAGTTGTGTTAAATACATAACTCTTTTTGTATGAAATCCTATTTTTATTTATCATGTTCAGTAATTATTGTTATCTTTTATCTGAGGGCGTACAAAATTGAAAGAGAACGCACGTGTTAAACTAGTGCAAAGACCACAGATTCCTATATCTCATTTTCAACCCCAAAACATAAAGTCATTGCTTCATTCGTCCCATTTCTTCTGCATGGTCTCCTTCGTTTTCTCTTTCTTTGAATTAAAACCTCGGTAGGAGTGTCATGAAATGGAGGAAAAACTTCACAATTGTTCATGTTGTTAAAGTTAAATCCAAAAGAAAATGAATTGGTAAAAGAATTGTAGAAGGAGTTGTGTAATTTTTGTTATTCTCCTTTTGTATTTAGTTTTTAGCTGAATCAGAGTTTATTTATATAAGCTTCATTTCAAGTGTATAAAGAAATGGAAACTGGAGCAGTCTTCAATTTTCGTCAATATCCACCGGAGTGTCATATACTTGTGTTGGTAAGAATATAATAATAACTTGTAACGAGTTGATCAAGTTATATATTGGCAGTGAAAATTAAAAGCAATACATCCAATTACGATAAGGATAGTAATCCAAAAGATACCTATTCGTACCCAAAATATGAGCTGTATGCCCCCTTTACATGTAGGTTAAGTGCATAAGTAATATTTTCAAGAAAAAAGTTTAAAGAGAAGTAGGCGTAGATGTATTGGTAGTCAATGTTACGAGAAAGTCTCTGTAGTCTCCTTGAGGAATACTTTGACAAATGGCATTTTTAAGATGAACTCCATATTTCTTGTTGAAGGCCACTTGAATATCTTCCATGTCAACCTCTGCCCTACTTGCCATTATTCTCATCAATGCTCCTTTATCCCTTGTTGTCCCCTTTAAGCATTCATACAGCACCTGTGCAATACTCAACTCCACTCGTTTAGTTAATACAACCACACACTATTTTTTAAAAATTTAGAAACCTAATCCTACACTTAAATCATTGTCATTCCTCATTTTGTTTTATTATTTTACTTTATTTACATTGAATGATAAGTGGTAAATCCAACGTGGTCAAGTCAGAGAAAAGAGTCCCAAGAATTTGAGAAATTTGAATAGATAATTTCTGAGTTAAAATAGGATGGTTGAAATTCTTGCACTCTTAAACATAAATATTTTATTTTAAAAAACCAAGTGTTTATCCCCTTTAGTGGTCCCACATTAATCTAAACTTTTGGATACTGATTAAGGGCTAAACAGAAAAAAGTTGGAAATAGTTTTTTCTACAAATAGGAGCCGAGGTGACTCCATCAAAGCATGTGAATGAAACACTACCTGAGAAAAATACTTTGTGGGGCTGCAGATGTATTTGACTACTGCTTCCACTGCTTCCTCCAACTCTCCACATTTTCCAAATTTCAAATACTACAATAAAACTTTGTTAACAATGATTAAATTGAAAAGTAAACAGAATTGCCAAAATGATTAAAACTAACAATGTGAAATTAGTGGAAAGCAAAAGGAAAAGGAACTTAAACTCTTGAAATCTTCCTTTCGATTGTTAAAGTTAACATATTGAAGCAAAGCAAACACAATTGCAAAAACTCATTATCTTCTTAGACCTACTTACTCACTTGAACAAGGTAAAAACCATAAAAGAAATATAAAATTATCTATTCATCCCTGCCTATTTATGCAACCTAACAGCTTGTTTTGGTGGTTGTTACCTATTGTATTGTATCAAATTGTTACTTTAAAGATAATATTTTTTGATTTTTACTTAAATTTTATTTTATCGTATCATTAAATCCATCGTTACAGAACGACGAAAAGTGCCACTTTATGGAACGACGGATTTGATGTGGTAGCATCGTTTCCTTATTTTTTCCTCTCATCTTGCCCTTTTTTGTTATTAAATAATCATATTTTATTCTTTATCCTGCTTTTTTATATAATAATTCTACTCGGTTTTCTTAGTAATCTTGCAAGTTTATTCTTCGTATGATTGGTGTGTGACTTCATGAAACGACGGCAAACGATACAATCTATCCAAACATTGTATTTATCAAACAATACAATACAATATGATACATTATGAAACTAACAACTAAAAACAATCCAAACAAGCTGTAAGGAATGGAAAACTGCCTGGACCATTTCATGTTTGGTATGCAAAATGGAAAAAGAGAAAAGAAAAAAGGAGATAGAAAAAATTAATATCTCTCTCTAGGGTCCACATATTGTTTCTCCAAAACAAAAACACTTATTGAAGTTGTCCCCCTGTTCTCTTTTTAATCCAAACACAGGAATTTATTCACTTTGTTTGGAAACTAAGAAAGGGAACAGTAACATTCTTGGTTCTTCTATTTCATTTATTTATTACACTAGAAATTGGGGGGGTTGGAGACAAAAGGAAACAAATACTGTTCAAGCTGCTTACTTTTTGCTTTCCTCCTTTCCTATTCTCTCCTAATAGTGTACAGTTTCAGGTCATATTTCAAGAATGGTTACCTGTAAATATATTTTGGATGACTTAATCCTTTGAACTACGAAGGAGAGTCTTGGTATAACTGGTAAAGTTAATGCCATGTGACCAGGAGGTCACGGGCTTAAGCCGTGGAAACAGTCTCTCAAAATGCAGGGTAAGGCTGCGTACAATAGGCCCTTATGGTTGGGCCCTTCCCTGGACCCCGCGCATAACGTGAGCGTAGTGCACCGGGCTGCTTTTTTTCAATCCTTAAAATCATGCTTGTATATAAGCTAAGCTCTTTTGATTTATCTCTCGTCTTGGTTTGTTTTAAAGAGGAATTTTGGGAAGAGGAAGCAGTAGAAGAGACTTACTTTGGCATAACTATGGCCATAAATGTGTTTATAGCTAGAAAAGGTGAGTTTGAGCTGTGGAATGCTTCTTTTACTGAGAATCTCCAAGACAACAGCTTCATCAACAGTGACACCGGTTCTTCCCTCCCCTGTTTGGTATAATCTCCTCGCATCACATTTGGCTATGTGTTGGCTAATATCCGCATTGTGTGCTTTGTGTGATGCTGATAATGCCATTAGTATCTACCAAAAAAATACAATAATTAAAAATTATCATAAATTTTTGAACCCAAAGAAGATTTAAGTAGAAGATCTCTTTATAAATTTCCCAAAAAAGATGTTGTTAAAGAAGTTGGAATAATAATCCTAAAGCACTGTGCATCGCATACAGAGCAATCTGTTAGTTAACATTATGCAAGCTTTGTGTGCTTCGGGTGTTGCAGATAATGTAGTCCCCTCCTAATACCAACCAAATCAATCCATAAATAGAAATACATTAATGCAAAAAGAAAGAAAAAATATCATAATTTTAAGAAGGAACACAAATATTCCCAGAGGAATGAAAAATAACTTTTCTGAACCAAAAATCTGGAAAAATTAAATCATCATAAATTGAAAAGTTATAAAAAAGAAGTAAATAAAAGGGGCTATGAAAACAAATTTTCACCATACACAGGAACAAAACCTGAATGTTCCAAGCAAATCAGAAGAAGAAAAGAGGTGAGCGATTTTTTTTTTTTTTTTTTTTTTTTAATCTTCTGAATATTGAAATGAGCATCAGAAATTGCCAAAAAGAAAAATAAAAAACATCGAAAAGAAACAGAAAAAAGGTTAAAATCAAAAAGGGACAAAAAGAAGAAGAGGATCGAGCGGAATCTCTTGATAAGCCCATATCTACTAGTATAATGTGTGATAAGCCAAAAGGAAAAGAGGGAAATTTTTCCTTACTTTTTGACAAGGATGAGGAGGTTCAATGGAGGAAATGTCATTGTCCAAATGCCTTCTAAACTTAGTCAAATAAGCTTGTCGAATCAGAGCAACATGGCTAGATTTTCTACAGGTAAATATCTCCATTAAAGCTCTGTAATTGACCTCATTCTCCTCTAATGCTTCCCTAGCCACATCTGCATCACGCTGGTGTGGATTTTTCAACAACATGGCCAACCCCAAAGCTGCCATTGATGATGATGAAGTATTACTATTACTATTAGTAGAAGATGAAATCAGTGGATCATTTCTGTGAATGCTATTTTGGAAACCGAGAAAAGGGTCTTCTCCATACAACTCCATGTATTTTTCTTTGATTTTGTGGCGTTGGTTAGTGTTTAGAGCAGCTAAAACTTGGATCAAGTGGTTATTTAGCTCACAACAACTGTGAATCTCTTGGCAAATAGTGTCACACATTTCGCTTGATAATGACATTTTATTTTTGTTGTTGTAGTGGATTTGTGAAAAGGAGTCAACTGAGTAAATGGGATAACATACTTGGACACCACGGAAAAGATAGCTACCACTCCAACTGCCTTTTCTTTTTGTTTTTTTCTTTCTTTCTTTCTTTCCGGGTCAATTGGTGTAAAAAAGCCAGCCGGGTGCTATAAGAGGCTGCAATTTTACCAGTTACGTCAAAGCTCCCTTTTGGATCATTTTGCATGCAACTCTAATGTTTTCCGTTTGTGTGTACCTCAAATATTTTTATGATCAAATGTTTGTTACTTACCTTTCACTAGCATATACTATATATATCGAATAACATTGTCTAGACAGATGGAAATAAATTACTTCTTACGGTCCATAATAAGTGATCTTTTGACTTTTTTCTTTTGGTCCAAAATAAGTGTCATTTTACATAATCAAGAAGGAATTAATTTTATTTTTTCAAAATTTATCCTTATTTACATATCCTAATATGTCAAGGTAACGATTAATTAATGTTAATTTAGTAAATTATCTTTTTTTTTTCTAGGAGTTCGTATTTTCTTAAGGGGTGTACCATAGCTAAAAAATCACATATTATAGACCGGAGGGAGTGTTTACTAATGTAAACTTTGACCAGTATTTGAAATGCATTTTTCATCCTGTTTATATGAGAAGAATTGCAGTACATTTCGTATAAATTTTGAGTAATATTTAATTAACTTTAATTCAGTTTAGTTTTAAAGATTAGTCAAATTGATGACATTGAAATGTTACACCTAAGTTATGCCAGGATCTCCACGAAGGGGGTTCAAAATTTTTTTTTGTGGCTAGTGGGAATTGAACCTGTGATCTTATGAAAGTTTTGAACCCCTTTGACCACTAAACTATACTTCAGGGTTGTGTCAAGGGTGTTCAAAACTTAATATATAGAGATAAAAACCAAATTTTGCCTTATATATACAGTAAAATTTTTCGGCAAAGGGGTTCGGGTGAACCCCTTGCGTCCCCTAAATCCATCCCTGTGCCTAAATTAAGTGGAAAGTGGCCACTAGGAAATTATAGCCCATTTTCTTGAAAACTTTGAGTTAGTGAAAGTACCTAACGCAAATTCGAAAGGAATCTCAGTACGTACATGTGATTAATGTGGATTGTAGAAGTCGGTAATCCTTTTCGCCTTTAGATAGTCTTAAGTTTTCCATCATTTGCTGCTTCAACCTTTTCCTAATGCTAATTTACATCTTAGTTAATGAGCTAGAATGTCAATTTTGACCGATTGCTATGATTAATTATGCAATTTACATAAATTTCATTAAAAGACCTTCACAAGAACGTAGGACATTTTTTTGTTAAGTAAAGACTTTTGTAAAGAAAAAGTTGCAAAGAAATGTACAACTTTACCGGTAATTTGGTTGATAGCAGGAATTATAACGTAGTTATTGTTTATGTAGCGGTTAGTAATGAGGAGATTTCTATATATGAATTAGTTCATTTTAAAGGGTATTTTTTCTTCAAATATTTTAATTCCCGCATTATTAATATTAAACATATTCTTATTCTATATTTTATCCTGCATAAAATAATACACAAATTACAGCATAACTTTGATGTGGATATATCATTAATACTGACAATTAAACATTGCAGTAATTCATGCAACGATTGAATTTCTTTTGCCACCAACTAAATATTATGTTATCTTACAGTAAAATGAATTAATTCAACATATCAACCAAACCTCTTACAATATATAATTTTTCAAGTCATTCTTTACGTATTGTCCATACTTTTGTTGTGCGCAAGGATTGAGAAAATGTGGTCATGCGTAATTCCAATCGAGCTTATCTATCTTTTTCTTGTTATACGCAACAAAAGTTTTATCTTCATAAATAAAAGGCAGAATAGCTTAAATGACACTTATTCTTGTGCCACTTTATTATGCTGGTCCTCAAACTTAGCATTTTATCAATTGAATACTTATATTCGTTCAAACAGTGTATACTAAACGCTTATGACAGGGCTGCTGTGCGTGTAATACATTCTCCTACACGTAGGATGCCATGTCATGCCACGTCATTACTAGTGCCACATAAAAAACAAACTATTAACTTTATCTTCATTTTTTTCCCTACTCCACCATCTCTTCTCCTTACCACCAACAACTCCACTGCCATCGCCAGAAAATTCCTCCGATCACCGGAGAACACCATTAAAAGTCTTGTAGTGTTCATTCAATTCTAAGAGTCTTGTAGTGTTCTAACGAACTAACTTTGCTGTTAATGACATATACGCACAAAAAGAAATAGGAAAAAGAAAAAGCAAGATGTTTACATTTGTTAGTCTCTTGGTTGGGGGTGGGTGGGGAGAGAAAGAGAAAAAGAAGTAGAAATGGGAGATGGGAGATGGGTTTTGGGGAAGAACG